AATGAACGTGTGTCTTGAAAGTAATGTTTTCTCAACTTGTACACAGGTTGGAAGAGCTGAACTTGGCCTGGTGTGACTTCACAGTTGATCACGTGAAGGCAGCAGTCAGCCACATTTCTCCAACGGTAACACAGCTGAACCTCAGTGGATACAGGCAGAATCTACTGATGCCAGGTGAGAGGCCAATTTTGGCTTGAAACCAGCTTGCTCGAATAACCTACCATCCACACTTGGAAGCCTGCCGTGCGAATAACTCTAGTCTTCTATTACAGTAAATTTTGGGAATGAAGCAAACTTGCAAGAAGGAACGTTTTAAGATACCGTATTTTTTGCTCTATAAGACTCACTTTTTCCCTCCTAAAAAGTAAGGGGAAATGTGTGTGCGTCTTACGGAGCGAATACAGGCTGCGCAGCTATCACAGAAGCCAGAACAGCAAGAGGGATTGCTGCTTTCACTGCGCAGCGATCCCTCTTGCTGTTCTGGCTTCTGAGATTCAGAATATTTTTTTTTCTTGTTTTCCTCCTCCAAAAACTAGGTGTGTCTTGTGGTCTGGTGCGTCTTATAGAGCGAAAAATACGGTAATATGAAATGTATGCCTACAGCTGCAGGAACGAGAGTGTTGAAATGTGTAACTTTAAGGCATTTTTATCTCTAGGCAAAAACTGTACTGCCTGTTGACGTGTGATGACCAGATTGCATTTGACTTTTCATTTCAGATATCAAAACATTAACTGAGAGGTGTTCCAGTCTAGTCCATTTAGATTTAAGGTAAGAATTTGAGTGTTAACAACACACACACCCCGCCCCATAGTTGTGTCTCTGAAGTCCAGTGCTAAGGAATAAATCAAGGTCATCAACACAAGGATTCCTGCTAGTGCAATGGGACTTTTCCTGTGCCCTCCCTAAATTTGCTCCAGAGTTGGTGGAACCCATAGAACAAATTTATGGGTTATGCAGTGGGCGGAGGGGGAGAACGTTCCACTGTGCAAAATTAGAAACCATTGCACCAGCAGAATGTTTACATAGCGCTACTTTCGGTACAGCCCAATAGTACTACAGTCGTACCTTGGATCTCAAACACCTTGCAGCTCAAACGTTTTGGCTCCCGGACGCCGCAAATCCGGAAGTGAGTGTTTTGGTTTGCGAACATTTTTTGGAAGCCCTACATCCGACGCAGCTTCTGATTGAGTGCAGGAAGCTCCTGCAGCCAATCGGAAGCTGCACCTTGGTTGTCGAACATTTTCGGAAGTCGAATGGGCTTCCGGAACGGATTCCATTCGACAACCAAGGTACGACTGTATTTTGAGTCTAATCATGTAGTACCAAGTCTGAGTAGCAGAACAGGCTAAGGGCTGCATAGACTTGGGGTTCAACCCACAGTGGTCTATATGTCAAAGTGGGTGTTCACATTTAAAATAACATTCTGTTTTGAAAGTGACAGATCAGGGGGTTTCACAATAACCTTTCAGCTGTCCAGATTTACAGCAGGGGGAGTGATCAGTAAAAGCCTGTTTCCCCAAAATTATTATTATTTTTTTTTTTAAAAAAGGAATGGACAGATTTGTGAGGCCACAAAAAAACACTTTGGCATTGCAGGAGGGAAAGGGAAGCAAATGCCTGCAAGTTCCCGTGTGAGATTGGGAGGGGTGGCCAATGCAACTGTTTCTAAGCAGGCAGCATGTGCCAGTCCTGCTGCTCAAACAAAGCAGCTGTGGATCCTCTCTTCTCCAAAGGAAATCTCCTATTTCCATCATCTCCCCAAAATCTGCATGAGAGCACACACAGCATGAGGAACTTTTAAATGGGGATTATTTTGGACGTAGTGTCTTCTTGTGATGCCCACTTGCTCCAAGCCACCTTTTAAATGGATGAGAGGTTGCCCTTTAGTGACAGAGTGCCCTCCATAAAACGTCAGCTCCCATAGACCTCCCTTCCTCCAAGCAGTCTCCATAAGTTCAGTTTCTGTACAGAGTCTGACTGTAAAAGTACTTGGGATAACTGGAAACTAGTCTGCAAGACTGATTGTGCTAAATATGTTCCTTTATTATTCTACTAGTCTGCCAAGCTTATATATGCAGAGGTTGGAGTTCTTAAATCAGTTGCTGTTTTTCATTACAGTGACAGTGTTATGTTGAAGCCGGATTGCTTTCAGTATTTCCACCATCTGGCGTCTCTTGAACACCTGGGTCTTAGTCGATGCTATCAGATACCTCCTGCAGCTCTACTGTGAGTAATGTTAACTACTTCAAGTCAATAAAAGCAGAAGGTGTTATTCAACTAAGTTTTACTTTGATTATGCCCAGTGAAAATAGTCTGCTCCAGTCTTCAAGCGGTGTGAGGGTCACTCCACTATGTACCAGACCTTCTGCATGAAAGATAGCAAACATGGACTGCAACTCCTTATCAGCCCCAGCCAGTTTGATCAATGGTCAGGGATGGGAACTGTAGTCCAACATCTTAAATTAGATACCCTTGTTTCAGAGTCTGGTGTGGCACTGTGAGTAGGATCACATGTGCCTTTTTGCCCCGCAACCCCAATTTCCAAGTATCCATCCTTTCATGCAAGCCATATCGGCTCCCTGCCTCCCCCCACAATATTTGCGCTCTCTCTTCATGCTAGCTTATCAGGGACATCTCACCATTGAAAGGGCTGCTCATCACCTTAAATCTTTGCTGCCAACGTTTATTTCCTAGCCTGTTGCACCACACCTTTTCCTGAGTTGTTTTGTTTGCAATCCTATATCTTAAATCTGAGTAGATATGTACCATATTTTTCGCTCTATAGGACGCACCTTGTTTTAGAGGGAGAGAACAAGAAAAAAAAAATTCTCCCCCTCTCTGCTGAGCGCCCCTTCAGCGAAGTGGCAGGCGAAACGGAGCCCCTTCCATTTCTTCTCCCGCTTGGCTGAAGGGGCGCTGCGCAGCTCTCCCTCTCTGTTGAAGCCAGGAGAGTCTTGCTCTCCCGGCTTCAGCAAAAGGAACCTGAAGCCTGCGGAGCACAGCGGGAACTCGCGCTGCGCTCCGAAGGCTTCAGGCAGCCATCCCTGAAGTCTGTAGAGCGAGAGGGGTCGGAGAGGAGGCTTCAGAGAAAGCAACACAAAGCCTCTGGAGCGCGTTGCTATCGCTGAAGCCAAGGAGCCTGCATTCGCTCCATAGGACGCACACACATTTCCCCATAATTTTTGGAGGGGAAGAAGTGCGTCCTATAGAGCGAAAAATACGGTATAAGACTGTGTTATTAAGGAACAAGTTAATAAAAGGGTGTCCATAGGCCTGTTATGAGTGCATAAGTGCGTTCTGCCATTATTTAGCATAGTGGGACCCAGTTCTCATTGGCATGTCGTCCTCCAAATTTCCACTTTGTTAGCAAAGCCCAAACCACAAGGTACATATTCATCGGTTCGACAGATGGATGTTGGCGTTTCTGTAGCTTTGCTAACCTGTGAACCGCCTCCTGTTATGTCGCAACCAGAAATCTCGGTTTCTGCCTAAGGGGCTTCTTGTTCATTTTAAGAGGGGAGGAGAATGAATATTCATCTCTTAGTAACATATATATTAACCAAGCTGATTACAAGGAATGGGGATGCTGCAGAGCAGGGTGGGTTTGGGGTATCTTGCCATCCTCCAGTCTTTCTTGGTGTTTGGCACAGTATGACATGTGCTGCTGTACCCTTAATCCAACCCCCAAGATCACAAACTCCAGAAACACTGCAAAGGATTTGCTTGGGCAACCCATTCTGCCATCTGGTACAGTGGTGCCTCGCAAGACGAAATTAATTCGTTCCGCAAGTTTTGTCGTCTTGCGATTTTTCCGTCTTGCGAAGCACAGTTTCCCATAGGAATGCATTGAAAATCAATTAATGCGTTCCTATGGAAACCGACTTCAGACCAGGTCCGGGGACAGTCTGTCCCCTGACCTCTTCTGAAGGCTGAGGGGGGACCAAGGGCTTTTCTTCCCACCCCCAGCATTTTAAAAAACCCCGGGACAGTGGGGGACTTCTCCGCTGTCCGGGGCGATCTTAAAATGCTGGCAGGCGGGAGCGAAGCCTCCGCTGCCGCCCGCCAGCATTTTAAAAAGCCCCGGGACAGCGGGGGACTTCTCCGCTGTCCCAGGGCGATTTAAAAGCCCCCGGGAAGGCAGGCAGGGGGGACAAAGACTTTTGCCCCCCGCCGGCCTTCAGAAGAGGTCCAGGACCTCTTCTGAAGGCGGGCGGGGGGCGAAAGTCTTTGCTCCCCCCGCCTGCCTTCAAAAGCCATCTGGGATAGCGGAGAAACGAAGGCTGGCGGCGGGAGGAGGTCTCTCCGCCCGCCGCCAGCCTTCGGAGGAGGTCCGAGGACAGTGGGGAAGACGCGCTGCGCTTCCCCGCTGTCCCGGAGATTTCCCTATGGGCTTTCGTCTTGCGAAGGAAGCCCATAGGGAAATTCGTTTTGCGAAGCGCCTCCAAAACGGAAAACCCTTTCGTCTAGCGGGTTTTCCGTCTTGCGAGGCGTTCGTCTTGCGGGGCACCACTGTAGTAAAATGGATCTTAGGCAAGGATGGTTAGGGGCACAGCCTTTGTTGTATGACTCATGCTGCCACTGTATTTCAGATCTGACAAATTGCATTATCCAGTTCCCTGTGGTTCTGTTCACTTAACTTTCCTTTTTGTTGTTGTTGTTATAGTGAACTTGGTGACATAGCCACACTCAAAACACTCCAGGTTTTTGGAATAGTGACTGCCAGCTCCCTTCAACTCTTGAAGGCAACACTTCCTCGCTTAAAGATCAACGTCTCCCATTTTACACCTATTGCAAGGCCCACCGTTGGCTGTAAAAGGAACGAACAGATTTGGGGAATCCAATGCCGACTGAGCTTGAAAAGTCCAGTTGGTTTTTAAAATGGCTTGAAAGACATTTTTAGCTGCTACCAAGAGCATCCTTGAAGGGCGGTCGAGTTCATAGGTTGGGTTTTAATCTTGTTTTATTTTGTGACACGCGCTGCAGTCCACATCTTTCTAAATGGACTTAAATCAGTTTGTGTGCAAGTGCTGTCAACCATACTTCTGCTGAACTGTATTAAAAACCTGCTAATTATGTACAAATAGTTGACATTAAGCAACATGAACCCCATGCTTTTCGAAACACTATTGAAAAACAAGCTAAGTGTGATTTTTAAATATTAAAACGCTCAAAATTTTTATATACTGTTTCAGCTCTGTAGCTAAACTCCTGTGGCAATCTTATCAATGGTCTCACACACAACTGCACTCTTGTAAGAAGGTGGCTTCAAGTTCTTGGAACTACCATCTTCAGAGGTTCTCCCCTCTTTTCTGGTTGAGATGATATATTGATCTGAGCTAGAGAATATTTGGAGCGAGTGGGGGTAGTCTGTAGTTCTAACTGGCACTAGCATTTCTTACTGCGTTCAACCTTTTTCTCTGCGTGGAAAGTTAACTGAAGCCAACTTTGGAGGAGAGCTGTGCACACAATCCCAATGTAGTTTTATGGGAAAGAATAGCAGACTCTTAAATAAAATAAAATGGAAAGTAATGATGGAAGGCCTTTAAAACCATGTGAGATTAAAATTTACTGGCAATAATCTGAATATGTACTTTGAAGTTCGTGCTTGGAATAAGGCATTTAGCTGAACTCTTTTATTCAAAGAACCATTGAGATTTATGTTGCTCACTCATCCTTTGAAGTGTAATATCTGTCAAATAGCCAACACTACTGCTCTTCTTGATTAAGAGAGAGGAGTTAGTGCTGTGTTCACTCTTCATGTTGTTTAGTCGTGTCTGACTCTTCGTGACCCCCTGGACCAGAGCACGCCAGGCACTCCTGTCTTCCACTGCCTCCCACAGTTTGGTCAAACTGATGCTGGTAGCTTCCAGAATACTGTCCAACCATCTCGTCCTCTGTCGTCCCCTTCTCCTTGTGCCCTCCATCTTTCCCAACATCAGGGTCTTTCCCAGGGACTCTTCTCTTCTCATGAGGTGGCCAAAGTATTGGAGCCTCAGCTTCAGGATCTGTCCTTCCAGTGAGCACTCAGGGCTGATTTCCTTCAGAATGGATCACCCTTCATATGCTTTATAATTCCTCAGAATGTGTTTATCTGTTTCCTAAATTCACAGATACATTGGGGCTATTTAAATCTTAGTCAGTGTTCAGTGATGGCAGTTGAACATTACATCATAGAAGAAAAATTATTCCACAATTGCACAGATATATGGCAGCTCTCTTTCCCTGCCTCCAAAATGAATAATGAAGATGCAGAAGGTAAAACTGAAAAGCAGTGGGCAATGTTAGCATTTTTTTAAAGATCTATTTGTTCTCCCCAATCTAGACCAATCTATGTAGAATACTTTTAATTGTATACTTTATACTGACAACTGATGAAGAATCACTATAGGGGTGGTTTTCCCCCCACCGGTAGCACTGACAAGTACATAATTTCAGTAGTAAAAGCAACTTTCACATTTAAAATAGTGCTATTGGGATTCATAAGGAACTACATAGGTTTGTGTTTTTACCTTGAATTTTCATGTTATGAACTGCTCTGAAATATACAGATGAAGGACAGTATGGGTTATATATATATGGCCAAGAACATTTTTATAACAAGTATTGGAGATTTACATCTGAAGTAGTCTTCAAGCATCGGAGACACATAAAATACTTCCAAAACACTAGCTCACCTTTATTACATTAATTGCTATCCACCTCATACATTATTTCTCAGTAACACCAAATATCAACGCCTTTATTTTTAGTAAGATGCGGAATCCTGGTTAAAATATTAACAGGAACACTTTAGTCCAGGATGCTAGAATTAGACCATTTTAGGAGGGGATATGTTGGCTTTCATACTTGCACACATTTCACATATACAATTGCCCTATCAGCTCCCTTAACACCAAACAATTTATATAGAAATACGTCTTTAAATAGCTTGAATTGTCTTTCTAAAGATTGTCTTGTTTTTATGAACATTCTTCACACCCTGTTCCCATTAGAGCCAACGTACATGTTAAGCTGTGAGACCTGTGATTGATCTGGATTTTTGTGTGTGTGCATTTTTTAATCACACCAAATATAGCCATGGTGGTGGGGAGCTGCTAATTAGAGCAGTCCAACAGGGGACCAACACCACAACTGCCCACATCACTTTCTCGTGCTATATCCTACTTTCAGGGGGGTGGGGGAAGAAACAGATGAGCCTGTACTGTAACCTGTATTTCCCCATTACTTGGAACCAGATTTGTTGCATCTAGTCATCAGAACAAAGTAAGTGGATCCACTTCACAAGCAAACAACTTGGGTGGTGCTAGCACAAAGTACAGTCTCTTTCAAGCAAGGCTCAACACAAATTGTGGCTCATGTCCTACCTCTGTTCTTATACTGTGCAGCACTCCTTTCCAAAGATTTCCTTTTTAAACTAGAGGGGAGAGAAGAGGTCAAAAAGCAACTCCACACACACAGGAAAGTGCCCATGATTTATAGCAGGAAATGCTCTAAGCATAATCTGCCGCCACACTCTCAAGTCCACAGGTACTTTTTCAATGGCTACTATCCCCACTCCCCATAATAAGGATTTTTTTTTTGCTTAGGGAGGTGGTTGGCTGCAAGAGGAGTGGTTGATAAAGTTCAGGGTAAACCCCCAATAAGCTCCCTTTAACAAAACAAAAAAACCCCACACCTTTGATTTTATAAATGTTTGACACAGACACTCAAAAAACTAGTACAATGCTTGCCTGTCACAAACCAAGACCAGTAGAGGGCACCCAGGAACACTTCAAATGTGCAATAATAGTATAGTATTTTATTTTGTCATCTGTGCAAATTCACATTTCAGATCACCCCGAAGGACAGCTATCGTTTGATCCTTTTTCCGTTTGAAGGCCTGCATTACATTTAAACTATTGTTTTTGGCTAATAGGTTTGAGAAAGCAATTGCCCTTGCTTACAACTTTGTAAGCTTGCCTAAGTACTTGTCTTTATATAAAACACTTTAAAGACTTCATCACATTGGCACAGTAGAGTATTTTATTTTGAGAGCCATGATCTATTTGCCTCATGGGTACAGAATCCCCACACAGCCCTGTTTCCCTATCCCTTCACTTTATGTGTATTGGCAGTGGGACAGAACTCGGGAAACATGGGGTATGTGCATATGTAGTGGAAGGCTCTGGTGAGGCTTATCAGAATTTTTAAAGTACAGGCATTAGCCCCATGGTGTGGGTTTGATCATGCTCCAAGTTGAGTCATTTTTAAAACTTAGATTGAGAAGTTCATAAAACAGTTGCAATCTCGGTGGACGAATTTCACAGCTTTCTCCATTTCAAATTATTACAGCACCTTTTCACATTCTGTGGTTACTATTCCTCATCTTAAATTGATTTACTTGGAAGCAATTGATTTACTTGGAACCACTACATTTCCAAACAACCTATAAAGCCTCAGCCGTACCAATACAGATCACTGGATACTTTGACTGGTGGGAAATTTTGTACAATACATATTTTAAGTGGGAGCTTTTAAGATTCCATTAAGTTCTTCACAGTGTAGTTTAAGGAGCTAGTATAATGGCTTCACTTTTTCTTTTCTTAAAAGGTGGCCTTGTAAAATAAACTTACACCTTTTCAAAACTGCTTCTGAACTTTTAACTTTTGGTGTTATGTTCTGAAGACATAAGGTTATTTGAACTTCTTATTGTTTACTTTAAACAGGCCTCATCACTTACCTGACTCACACCGAGGGTTCATCAGTGGCGTAGCGTGGGGGGTGCAGGGGGGGCCGGCCGCACCGGGCGCAACATCTGGGGTTAGGGCAAATCCACGGGTTAGGGGGTGCAAATCCACGGGTTAGGGGGCGCAAATTACTTGCCTTGCCCCGGGTGCTGACAACCCACGCTACGCCACTGGGGTTCATTACCACTATTTAAAATGTAAACAGTGAATGCATTGGGCAGTATTCTCAAAACACTGCACTGTGCATGGGTTTAGTAGCGTCAACCAATAAACTACACAATACACTACTGAATACCGTGTTTGCAGATAATCATATGGCTAGTTCAAAGAAACAATGGTGAGTAGTCAGCTCTAAGTCACAGTTCTATGGTTTGTAATGCCTTATCTACATAGCAAAAGAACATGAGTTCCAGTAATGTGAAATCGGCTCAAATTGGTCACAATCATGTACCTTTAAAAAACACTGAATACAAGCTGCATTGAAAAATGAGTACTTTTCAAAACGTCCAAGTATTTCCTCACTGCACAAGTGGAGTTGTTTTTTCCACGTTGTACCCATTTCATAAAGCATTCAGTGTCTTGCAAACACCTGCATTTTAAAAAGGAATGGTATGTATTTTCACTAATTAGCCTTGGTAAGCAGGGGACTTATTTGTGCGGGAAGGGATGGCAAAAAAGCATCCTTCTGACATGACTTGGCTTTGTAATTTGCCTCATCACTTGGCTATGCCATTGCTCACACTCTTCCCCCAGCAAAAACGGGGCTTCAGCATGGACCACAGGAACTTCTCCCTTCCGGTCTACTCCTGGGTCATACCTTAGAGGCCCAATCAGGAACCCTGACAGTGCTGTATTAAATAAATGGAAGTTCAAGACCGAGTGCCAAAAATCATTACCATATGCTTTCTGGTGGGAAATTTATCACAAATCTACCATAACACATTTTTCAAAACACAGCTGAAACTGTTGGCAAGCCAGATTTTCAACAGGTAGTGGGGATAATCTCAAGTGAGTTTTATTCTTGCTATTGAACAGGTGGACAACCTGTAGCCCTCCAGATGTTGCTGGTCTCAGCCAGGGCTGATGGAAGTTGCAGTCCAGCAACATCTGGAAAGCCATAGGTTCCTCATACAGAAAATAGGCACAACATCAAACTGGTGAGTTTGGGGAGCTTAGACACAAGATGCTGGGTTTATGGTACTGAACTGTAGAAAAACTAAAGCAATGAAAACCATTACAATCAAACATGACCAATCAGAAAAGTAAAATTCTTGGGTGTATACAAAAGGGTTACTTTTGGGTAGCTAAATTCAAACACTGACCTAACCTTTTTGCTTAATTACTTTTAACATAATTTGCTTTTAGAAACCAATGAAATACATATGGGGGGGGGGAGGGGATCAAGGCATTTTGCAGAATCAGTACTATATAGCTACTACAGAACTGTACAGTTTATTAACACCAATTTGTTCCAAGCCCTGTCTTAGGTTTTAAAGTATCCTGCCAGATTCATTAAGATTTTGAAGCGTTGCAATTTTGCTGGCTTCACAAACACTGGTTTTCCAAGAATTACTCATCCAAAAGGAATGAAAAGCAGTTTCAATTGTTGCTTCCCAATGTCTGTCTAGATGAAAGAGCAAGTTTCACATCTGAAATGAGGCAGCATCCCTTCTTTGAATTGTGAGTAGTTCAAACTTTTTCTTCATTCGTCTAGCAAAACAGTACACAGTGCATCTTCTGTATTGATCAATATTGACGCTATTGCTCCATCATTAAATTCAAATGAAGTTCCTCCATCTACAACCATACAGGCATCCCAGCAACGAGAGCGAATGCAAACTCTGAAAATACATTTAAAGAACACTACTACAGACCTACAAATCAAGCGAACAGTTTCATTTACAATGGGAATACACTATTTACAAAAGTCATGCTTGTGTAATTTTATCACTATTAATCTCTACACTATTGGAAGTAAAATCAGGTCATACCTACTTAACCAATTAAAAATGAAAATCCATTTACTGGTATGCTAGTTTTAAGATCTCATCTGTCAAATGACACCTACTCAGCTGCCCAGTTTAGCCAACAGCAAACTACAGATACTATGACAGAATCATATTCCACAAATGTGCATTTGTTCCTGATAATTTAGTCTTAAACTTTTTTGGAGAGGGGGTGCTGTTGAAAAGCTTAATGCTTCAGGATGTGTAGAAATGAAAGCAGTATTAAATAAAGCTTCCAACTGTTGAGGGATTCATGACTTGTTCACATACATGTACATGCATTTGGGATGAGCAACAGTATTAAACCTGCAGGCTGAAAGTCCCTCTGAACTATTGCAAAGTAAGATCATGCCATGCTGGCTGGGACTGATAGGAGTCTAACAACATCTGGAGGGCCAAAGGCTTCCCATCTCTGCTTTAAAACATTAAACCATATTATTATCTAATAATATAATTAATATTCTGTGTTTTGGATGAAGGGAGGGAACCCTCGTATAAAAACTTATTCATCAGAAAAACCAGGAAGATATTTTCTGCTCCTCTATAGCTAAGCTATAGGAAAGGAAAGATAATACTGGCAAAAATATTTTTTTTTTTGGGGGGGGGGAAGCAAGATTATAGGATAAGGCTAATGTTAACAGCCCTGCCTTTAGACTTGCTAGGCAGAGCTACCCATTCTAAAATGGCCTTCTCCATAGATGCAGCAAGACAAGATCTGGCCAACACCATTAGGAAGGAAAGATCCATGGATCTTTGAGTTAAGGAATCTATGAGTTAAGGATCTATGAATTAAGGAAACTCCAGATTTAACTTTTAACTTTTAAAACAGTATTTATTCCTCACGATTTCAAAGATGCAATGGGTCCACCTTGATGCTTACTGGATAGCAGCTTCAGTCAAACTGGGAACCATGATTATGATATGGTAAAATGAAATCAAAAATCCATTTCAATCACAGGATTGAAAGTAGGATTCCTATTCTCTGAAAAACTTGCAGTTACATATTTTGTCACAATCTTGAATTTAAACGAAACGCCTGCAGTCAATACTTACTTTGAAGCAAAACCCCGTTGTCGACTACTTGAAAAAACACGGTTTGAAATAGGTTCTCGTATACTAAAAAACATCTTGGGTTCCTCTGGACTATACAGTAGTGATTCATTATATCCATTTGTTACTGAAAGCACACAAATTAGATAATCAGCTTCTGCACGTGTGTGAAGCAATAAATAGTAAGTTCTCAAATCAGCTGAGCTTTTAATGGCTAGACTTTTTTTTTTAAATAACAAATGGCTTACGCTCCTATTCTGAAAGATTTGTGAAAATATATCTGCCTGCATCTTCTATTTTCACTCTAATTCTGAGGATTTAAAAAACTGTTAGCCTGTCCTGTCGAAGAACTGAGTAACATTAGGTGTGAAAGCTAAATACATAAAATAATGTCCATTTCTACAATTCTGAAAAACAAAGTCCTGTGCAAAAGTTAAAAGGAAACATATTGCCCATAAGCTCAGAAATTATGATAAAGTCAAATATACCTTTCTGTACAAGTTCCTTGTTCAATGGAAGCCTTAAGCTCTCATAACTTTTAGCTGTTGAAAAAAAGGAAGAATTAGACACAATTCTTCTATTAGATACAATTATCTTTTGCATTTGCTGGTCAATAGTTATGGTGCTGGTAACTCACCAATTTTAAGGATTTCTTCCACAGCCTGATTTGCTACCTTGTTGATATTAAAAGACCTACAAACAGAAATAAAAACAAGGATTTTATTATACAGTATTTTTATACGGCTGCCCACCAACAAATGTTCTTTGGGTAGCTTACTGAATAATATTAGGATACATTTAAATGCAACAAAAACTGAATTTCACTGTCCAAAAAGCTTTGCAGCGGCAAAAATAAATAATAATGAACTGTGTATTGATTTGTAATGTTTTGTTGGGTCTCTGGGCTGTAATAAAGTTTGTTGTTGTTGTTGTTGTTGTTAAAAAAATAATAAATAAATAAATAAAATCATTAGCAGCTCAGATTAAAAGTTGTTTTAAAAGCCCTTCATCTGACACTGAAAAGATCACAGATAAAGTGCCAGGTGACCCCTCTTGGAGGCTATAATGTAGCTAGGAAGCTACCAAGGAGAAGATCTTCTCCCCAGTTGCCACCTGCTTCCTTTCACTTGGCAGGGACACATTGAGCAGGGCTTCTGAATAGAATATTCAGATACAGGAAGTATTTATGTGGAAGAAGGTACTTCTTAAGGACCTGGACTAGCTCCAGCTGGGAGACTTCCCAAACCTTTCTCTAGCATTCTCTACTGTCTTAAATGTAGAGGATTTTAAAAACTGGGAGCCAATTTCTAGCTGAAAAGCAGGAGGGGAAAAAATACTTGCATAACTTCAATGGAATAGATTTTATGTCAACTGGAAGCAACACTAACATTTCCTTTCAACCCCTTACTACAACTTCTGACTTCAAAAAAACCTAAACTTGAAATCTCCTAAACACTGGAAAGTATCGACCCAACAGGAATTTTTCCTTTATTTCATTATCATATTAAATGCTGTATTTTTATTATTCAGTTTATATTCCACTTTTCAACTAGAGTCATCAAACTCACTAACCTTACAAAACACATACATGCTCATAAAACAAAACAATAGAATAATCCTTTCCAAAAGGGCTGATTATTATTATTAATAGTAGCAGTAGAAGTAGTAGTAGTAAATTTCTATACTGCTTTCATCCAAAGATCAGAGGCAGTACAATTTTCAGTCAAGTTACACCCAGCAGTGTGAAGACTGAGCAGCTACAGTGGTGCCCCGCAAGACGAATGCCTCGCAAGACGAAAAACTCGCTAGACGAAAGGGTTTTTCGTTTTTTGAGTCATTCCGCAAGACGAATTTCCCTATGGGCTTGCTTCGCAAGACGAAACGTCTTGCCAGTTCTTGCGAGTTTGTTTCCTTTTTCTTAAAGCCGCTAATAGCCGTGCTTCGCAAGACGAAAAAACCGCAAGACGAAGAGACTCGTGGAACGGATTAATTTCGTCTTGCGATGCACCACTGTATATCTTTCCATAATGGGCCTACTATCCATGTTTGAGGAGTTTGTGTTACATGGGGAGCATTCAAGCATCCTTATCTGAATTTTGAAGAGCTACAGTCCCAGAAGTGTACCATGTATTGGCATTCAAATTGGTTATTTGTCTACACATCTAGCACACTCAGACGTTGTTACAGAATTTAGAGATTAAAACCACAATTTAAAGAATCACACAACTTTGCATACCCATTTTTAAAATTACCACCACCCCATTTTCTGTTTCCCTAACAACAGTAGCCACCAGTCCTGCATTAACAAAGTGCTTTGGAAGCTGGCATTTCAAAAGAAGCCACAATTTAGCATGGGGAAGTTGCATCCTTTGCAAAGAAAAAAAACCTGCTTGGCACCAAGAAGCCAAACAACTCAACACAATACATGCCAACTCAAAATTAAGATTCATTGGATTTAATGGATCTAATTTCCAGGCAAGTTGGTATAGAATTGCAGCTTGATAGAACTCAAGTGGACTTGGTCATTACACGAGCTATTTCTCAATTTCTTCAAGGTGGTACAACATGTTCTATCTTCTATGAAAATGTGTTTACTCATTACTCCTATTGGAAAAGCCAAAGAACTAACATTTTAAGGCTACACCAAACTTACCAGGCTTTTGATCCTGTTCCAGTGCATATGTTGAGACCTGAGCTCTTTTGTTTCTCCCATGGACCACCATCAACTGATATTTCATAGTAAGAGGCCCTATGAAGGGAGAATTTAAAACTGGGTTTGCAGGACTTATAGTTCACCCTGAATAAGACAGAACACAGCCCCACATCAGGCACGTACCAATCTAAAAGGGCAATTTCAAACATGGCTGAAAATTTCACATTAAATTTAGTACAGCAGTTCTTTAATGAAGCAACAAGGTTGATTTTTGACTGGTAAGTTTTCATCAATTTTCAAAAATACAGCAAATTGTTAGTAAGATAGCAAGCCATTTTGAAAGCCTTTTAGAATTTTCTACCTTAATTTTGTGGGTTCATCTGTGGTTAATAGGACAGGGTATAAGTATTTCCCACACTGCAGCATTAGTGCACACAGCTTTAGTAATTTCTTCCCATATGTATGTGCCATTGAAATAAAAAAGGAATTTTCAGACTGAACTGCAAGTAATAGAATTTGTGCCTGCAACTTGTATACCTCTGGCCCTCCAAATACTGCTGGGCTACAGCTCCCATCAGTTTTGTCCACTAACTATGATGGCTGGAGCAGATGGGAGCTAGAATCCAGAAACCTCTGGTGGAGCACTGGTTCTCCACCCCTAGTTTCGCTTTTCCGAACTATTCATTTTACTTAAACCAAGGCTAGCCAATATGATGCGTTCCACATATTGTTAGGCAATGGCTCCCAGCAGCCCCAGCAAGCATGGCTTATGGTCAGAGATGAGGGGAGCTGTAATCCAACAAAATCTGAAGAGCATCCAACTGGCTACTCAACTTGGCATCTAAATAGATATTTCCACCACACTTCCATACTACACTTCCCAAATTTACACCCCATAAAATATAAAATGTCTACCATGCCTAACATTCACCTTTTCCTCCACCAAGCAATCCCATTCCACAGTCATCATTCAATCATCTCCACTCACTTCAAATTCTCAACTCACAAAACACTTATGGGCCTGCTCAATCGAAACTCTTCAATAATCCCCATTATTTGATGGAACTGGTAGTATTGCTCCCATGCTTAATCCCTTCCAGCAAGGGAAAGGGAATGATCTCCACAATCTTCTATGCCTTTCTGCTTGATATTATTTTTTTTTGGGGGGGGGGGAGCAGCAAGCTTCAATTCTCCTTTCCTACATAAAACATACTGTGTTAGGAAGCACGAAGCAAGGAAGAACTGAAAGATGAAAAAGTGTCAGCAATTAAGAGAAATAGGTCACAGTTTTGAACACTATGATTAAAAATCATTTCCCCATTTTTACTAATTACGTACAAAGTGTTATATGTTTTAGACAGTAACATGCAGAGAGGTCTTGTCAGACACTGTGGAAATGGGGGGTGATAAATAGTTAGTGTACTATTAGATAACCCCTCAGGTTGTTTTACAGTTTGAGCCAGTTATGAAAAATGGTTGAAGTCAGTGATAAACAATGAAGACCAGAACTTCAATAACATATGCTTGATATGCAAGATGATACACAACATGCAGGAAAAGAATCCAAAGTCAAATGTGTGTGTCCAAATAAGACCTCTTGAAACATGATAGGAAAATATATATGTAGAACTATGCTGTTTTCTCACAGATTTGGGAAATTGCAGAAATGTATAATTTGGATCCAGTAATTAAGTCTGAATATATTTGCATACATTATTACACACAGAAGGGAAAAAATGATATTGAAGTTTACAAGCAGTCTCAAACTAAAATGCTTATGATTCTAGCATACCTGGATGAGAGAGATTCTCCAATAAACACTTCATTTAATGATCTCACTGGCAAGAGGTGTGGTTCAGATATCTGAGACCCTGCAAATATAGGCAAATCAGTGCTGACAGGCTAACAGGATAAGCATCACCAGAAAGCAAAATGGTAAGATTATTGTAGAGGTGTGTGTGAATATACACAGATATGGAAGACAACCAAGGAGCAAAATAAATAGGTTCTTGATGTACACACTTGATGTGAAAGAACCATTGTACAAAAGTCTGGCTATTCATTTATTGAAGAGGGCCTTGCATTTAATCGACAAGTTACCTTCTATTCTGAACATTTCTCTTACATATTTGAGATTAGCATTAACATCACATCTCAAGACTGAATAAAAGATCATTGCACACCAGTGTGTGGGTTATATTTTAGGATTGAAACTATACTCACTTTGATCCTGAAATCTTCCATTAACATGGGCCCTGCTGTGCTGTTCTTGACTCAACTGCTGTTCATGCAAGTCAACAGGGACAGGGTTAATGCCAGTCCCTTCAAGATATAAACGGATTCGTTGCCGCCACTGCCATCTTTAAAAAGGAAGAAAATAGCACAAGAATCAAACAAATTGAAATGTATGGCAAGTTATTCTGCATGAATCAATAGTTCAAGAAAATAAAATCTTTACTGGGCCAATCAAAATGTTACAAAATACAATGTAAGCTTTTAAACTCTAAAACTTACAAGACAGTGTGGGGGAAGTTATCAGACATTCAACGGAGACCATTCCAGGGGTTAGGTTTTTTAGTGCAGAAGATCCCAGTGAGGCTAGCTGACAGCAAGCCCTGCTTCAAAGAGCCATCAGGAGTTTGTATGTTGTCAGATGTGGGCAAACAGTCTTGGGGGCCAAATAAGAACTAGTGTCCAGCCAAATTAGACCCATAAGCTGGAAGTTCCCTGACCCTGAAAAGGAGGGTTCCCCATCTCTCAAATCAACAACTAGTTGTAACTCAGTACTGCCTCTGCCCCTAGGTGAAACACAGAAGTTCTTGCGGTGAATATAAAGGTATAAAGAGAACCTGGGTAGTCCCTGATAATATCACCTAAAGGTTATCACTTATCTCTATCTCTGTTTATTGCACACAACAATAACGTTATTTTTAAATTTAATTTTTATCTTTACTGATTTTCATTACATACAAAACTTAGTAACATCAAACAAAAGCAAGTCCCAACTTCATTTATAAGATCACATTGCAGAAAGTCACCCTATTTAATTAACCGGTTTTATGGTAGTGGTGTTCAAGCTATACATATTAAACCAGTTGATAAAAAACAAAACCCAATCCCATTCGTTCTATATGAAGGTATTATGTCTGGTATAAAGTTAATGAGAAATCTGTGTCCCTCCAAATGTTGCTAAGATACAATTCCCATCAGTCTTGGCTACTGGCCATGTAGGTTAGGGCTGAGGGAGTTTGAGTCCAGCAGTATATGGAGGGCCACAGGTTTCCCATCCTTGGCTATAAAGATATCTCCAGTATGCTTCAGAATTAAATGCCTATTATTGTGTGTGTCAACAGTAAATGTTCCAAAACATCTAAAATTTGCCTTGCCGGGTATTGATTCTTGCACACCGATCAGCAATAGCTGTGATGAAATCATTAGTGTCAGATATATCTCTATAGTTTTACTCAGCTGATCTCCTAAAATATGTGCATGCAGCATAACTAAATTCTGAGTCTTCAAAAGATTGGAATGAATCAGTGGCAGAGTTTCATGCTCCAGCACCAGGGGGCAGAGAGCAGGCGGGGGCGTGGCTGGCAGCGTCCTGGGGACGTGGCGCGCCACCCGCAGGCAGGGGGGGCAGCCACGATGGCACCCCACCGGGATTGCACTGCCAGGGGTGGTGCGCTCCCCCTGCACCCCTCTTCCTCCACCAGTGGAATGAATATCCTCCCATGTAACGGAACATGAACAAGACCACTCAAACATCAATGCATTTATTACCTAACAATCTTTAGTGAAATAAGTGGTATTATTTTATCTGTTTCGATAATTAACACAAACCCCCAAATGCAACACATTCAGCAAAATTTCTAAAATTCTGTAAATTCCAAAATTATCCAGACTAAATGATTGATTACATTGTGCATTTAATGCCATTTTATAGAATTAAACTGCTGAATATACAACAGCTTTTCTGTGTTTTCCTCCATCTGAACCGGAGGTTGAAGGAAGGCACGTGAACCAGGAAATCTTGGCAGCCTAGCAAGGTGCTCACCACAAAGTGAAGGATCACTTTCTTTTCCCATCCTCCTGAACAAACTGAGCTGTAATACTGGAAAAGGGGAGGAAGAACTCACCATCATTTAAAGCTATTTACAAGAGGGACCTGTTCAGCATTCCAGTCATGTCCTCCTCCACCATGCTCCATTCCACTCCCGCATGCCTTTACAGATTCTTGGCATTCTGTGATCACTGAGCATGCTTAGTCCTCTTTAGGCTGTTTTGGGGGTTTTGTTCTTGCTGATTTAAACCACACACACCAGTTCTTTTGTATTTTAGCTAACTCCGGGCTTCCTTTAAGTGTGTTGATAGCTCCCTCTTATTTCTCAGTGACCCTGTATTGTGTATAATCCTGCTGGGCACTTAGCAGCTGAGTTCACTTTCAGGAGTTACCGTATATCTACCGTTATGTGTACCTAACAGTTTGAATTAAAGAATCATATCCTGCTTTAAGGCAGGCTTCAAGAAAGGAAGGTCTGCTGTTGATAACACTGTGGCCAGGCTGCTTGTAGGGTCAAGCATATATAAATATCTTATCTGTGAGATCTGCACTGGCTGTTTATCTGCTACTGGGCCAAATTCAGTATTTTACTACTAGTATAGAAGGCTCTATACATACACCGTATTTTTCGCCCTATAGGGCGCACCTAGTTTGGGGGGGGGGGATAAAGAAAAAATATATATTTTCCCCCCAGGCACGGGGGGAAATAAAAATATTTATTTTCCCCCCAGGCACGGGGCTGGGGCGGGGGAAGCCCGAGCTTCCCCCGACCCCAGAACAGGCTGCTATCCGCAAGCCTAGGGAGCCCGACGGGAACTCACACTGGGCTCCCAAGGCTTGCAGATAAGCTTCCTGAAGCCTGGAGAGCGAGAGGGTTGGTGCGCACCGACCCCTCTCGCTCTTCAGGCTTCAGCAAAAGCCTGCATTCACCCCATAGGATGCATACACATTTCCCCTTCATTTTTGGAGGGGAAAAGTGCATCCTATAGGGTGAAAAATACGGTACATTCTATGTTTTAAATGCATTTTAATTTATAATTTAATTTATATACCATCCTTCATCTGGAGATCACAGAGTGGTTTAAAACATAAAACCACAACATGATAAAAACAACAATAATAAAAACAATACAATAATCAGCCCAAGACCTGACTGAGTATAAATGTTTTTGCACTACTTTGATATGGACCGCAGACTCAATAAATTCTAGGGATGTGTAGTTTTAAAAAATCTGCATCCGCATAACTCCTTCAGCTTTAATCTGTGCTCCCAGTTCCAAGCCATTCTGTATAAAACAGAAATGTGTGACTGTTCCACAAATCACACTAAGTACTGTTTTGGACATACTGGTTCCCACATTGATGCAGAAGAAGAAGAGTTTGGATTTGATATCCCGCCTTTCACTCCCTTTAAGGAGTCTCAAAGCGGCTAACATTCTCCTTTCCCTTCCTCCCCCACAACAAACACTCTGTGAGGTGGAACAAATAGTCTTCAGGTCTGTTCCCCACTATAGCTGTATTAATACAAAAAATTACATTTCTTTAAAACAATTGTCTAGAGATACGTAAGCTCTAACCTACCTGAACTCACCACGATAAAGTTTCTGTAGGGCATCTGGAAATGAGTGTGTATATCGTACAGGTAAACACAAATGGCCTTCAGATCTAAATAGAACATAACAAGGCGAGAATAAGGCATGAAATCACAGTATTCTGTTACCTCCTTCAGGCAAAGATATGTTCCCTCTCACCCATTCTAAAAAAAGGGAGTAAGTAATACAATACTGGATTACATTATTGTAGCTAGCTGGGCAATTTTCACTTTTAGACAGCATTCTATGCAAGATATGCCTAGGCACTCTATTTTCCAACAATTGTTGTTCATGTATTGAAGTGACTAAAAACAACAAAATGGCTGCCATGGGGGCATAACGCTAAATTAGAGAGTGTACAATCATGGTGAAGCCTTTCACATAATTGTGTTTCCACACAAGAAAAGGATTAACCTGTTGAAATTCTGCCTAAAAAATAAGCAGGAAAAGTGTATTAAATGGGAGGGGGAAACAGCAGCTCCTTAGGGTCCCAAGGATTCATATTGTGGGCTGTCTAAACAACTCATTTATCAATCACTGCTCTGACTTCACTCCTTGGCTAAAAGCACTGACAGGCGGAAGCAGCCAGGTTTGCTCATTTTACAGAATCACTGAGAAGTGTACCTGCACATTTTGTTTTATAACTTTCTTTGTAGGAGGGTTAAAGTCTTGCTATGTTTTAAAATGAAAGCTAGGGCTCCACCTGGGGACAACAATGAAGGCCTTTGCAGGCACCATGGACCCTGTGGGTGCCAATCTGGCAATCCCTGATCTACAGTCATAGTTAGCATACTACACAATAGCCCAGTTAAAACATATCCTAGATTAGCTGGACATTATAGTTAAAATTCAATGTCCATGCTACTCTTACCTAGCTTTGACCATTTACACCCATGCAGAAGTCACAAATATGCAATCAATTTTGTGAGAAATAAGGAAAAACTGTGAATAATGTGCATAATAAACTGGCAAAGGAAGTCACTGTATGCATATCAATGACAGAAAATGCCCCACATGGCACTCACAGGCCACTAGATTTTTAATTATGTGGCTTACAATATGGCAAGGTATCTGTAAGTCTTAGGCTCACCTGTCTGGGTCTGTGTTTATTCCAATAACTGGTTTTAACCGGTCCAACACCTTACTGGCTGCCAAAAGCATTGTGCCATCACCTAGATGAAATATAGTTTGAGATCAGATTACTTTTACATAAGACTGAAATATTCCAATGGAAGTATCAAGTACAGAGAATTTTGTGCTCAAACCTTTAAACCATTATTGTATAAAATTAAGAGTGAAAATAGATTTTGATGCGGAACTCATTTTGCCATAAGGAAATTATGCCTATGAAGAAAAAGAAAAACAGGTGCACAAAGCCTAGGTAACAACCTCTACAGAATGTTTCAGAATTTGTATACAGGCAATGAGTGTTTTGTGCAAGGGTTACGTTCCAGACTCCTGCATGTGTTGACACTAAATAAACTTTATTCTGGTAGTTCAGGTTAAGACTTATTTATTGATAAGCCAACTGATCAATTCTTCATACTGCTAAACAATTATTCCCGCAAGTTTGTTGTAATTCAAAATACCCATCCCCACTCACAAGTTAATACCTCCTGCTGCTACAACAGCATCTGCCCACCGAACTGTCTCTTCATCATATTCTCTGCGCTTCACAAGTCGGACCTCAATCTTCTCATTCCTGAAGATTTATGGAAATGCAAGTGATTATTAGTCAGGTTTGAAGGGCTTAAAAGGAATGCAAACTGTCAAGTTAAAAAGCTAGTTTATATAACTTTGATAATGACCTCAGGAAAGGGAAGCAAAACACACCACAAGTATGAATGTTGGGTTATTGTGACTTTTTATATAGGATCTGATTGTTACTATTAATGTTTGATGTTTTATTATGATTTTTTATGTGTGTTGGAAGCCGCCCAGAGTGGCCAGGGCAACCCAGCCAGATGGACGGGGTATAAATAAAAAAATATTATTATTATTAGTCCCATGGAAGATAACTATCACTTGCATCAAACTCTACTTACCAGTTCCCTGAAAACTTCTAATTATTTTACACCAGGAACAGCTGGCTTGTGTCACTCCAGATATTGATAGACTACACCCCACCTTCCCTGTCTATCAGGCATGCTTGCTGTGGCTGAAGGGAGTTGGAGACCAACAACTTCAAGGCCAACAGGCTAACTACTCTTGATTTACATAGAAGGGGTTTTGCTATAATGCTTCCCTTTCATCACCTTCCACTGCTAAATCTGATGTACTAACACAGGGTTATGTATCAAAAGTTTTGGGGCTGTTATTCAGGAAGAGCTCAACCTAGTGTCAGCAAAACCTGCGCATATATATATCAAAACCTGTAGTGTAAACTGTAGTTAAAATTGTAGTTAGATTATTGATTACTTTAATTATCTTTTGAATGCTTTTTAAACACCTGCTTCTAACCATCTTTTAGTAATTGTAGGGGTTTTTGTGTAAACCACTTGGAGGTTTTATGACAATCAATGAGTGTGTGTGTGTGTGTGTGTGTGTGTGTGTGTTGTTGAAAGGAAAAACAAAAACAAAAATAGTTTGTGGTTGTTACTATGTTGTTCAATTGAAAACTAACTCAAAAGTGAGGCTGCCAGTTATGTTCTACTGATTACAAGGTCAGTCAAAAACTCAACAATATCCTACTGTTGTCCACTTTGGTTAAATGATGCAACAATAGCTTTGAATGCACACTGACACTTGTGTATGCAGAGAACTGTATACAGATAACCTTTGTACATCTTTTTCAACAGAGAAAATAAGAGCCCTGTGGGATCAAGCCTAACGCTATTCTGGTCCAGGACTCTGTTCTCACAGTAGCCAAACAGATGGCCATGGGAATACCACAAGCAGAACCTCAGTGCAACAGCGCTCTCCCCTCCTATGATTCCCAGAAACTGGTATTCAAAGCAACACAGTGGGGGCAGAATATATCCACTGGTGGCTTTTTAAAAAGGATTAGATAAATTAATAGAAATAAAGCTATTAAAGTTGGTGGCAATCACAACCTCTTGTGGGAGCAAATCCCATGGTTTAACTATGTGCTATGTGAAGTATTTTCTTTTTTTGGTTCTTCCAATATTCAGCTTCGCTGTATCTCCCTGAGTTCTAGTATTATGGGAAAAGAATAATTTTGCTCTCTCCATTTTATGCACACCAAGTGTAATTTTATACACCATTATCATAAGTTTATACATCCTTATCATGTCCCCTCCTACATGCCTTTCTCTAAACTAAAATGCCCCAACTATCTTGTCTGAACTACGAGAAACTTCTGAAACTGAATGTGGAGGGCTGCTAACAGAAAAAGAAGCAAAGAGTCAGTTGTCCCTTTCTTTTATATATACAGTCCCCTTCATATGTATTAGGGCTGGATGATAAATCACCTCAAACCGTCCATATTTTGATATCAATTTCATACTTTTTGACCTGGGAATATATCGTGAATCATGATGTGTGTGTTTATGTGTGCTATGCAAAAATCAGCCAATGCTTCTCTCAACTCCTGCAGCCCGTTAACTCTGCCAGCTCAGCTCTCCCCTGCCTCCTGCAGGGTGCAGCAAATCAAAAGAGCAGGCACCAGCAAAAACCATGATGCAGGGAAAAGCCATGAAGCCTGCCAATGCCTCCAAACAGCTCCATCCTTTTTTCAGACATTGTGATAGATTGGTATATTGTGAAGTTTAGCTGGTGATATATCATGATGTTGAAAACCAGATATCGCCCAGCCCAAATATGTATAAACATGGTTTACTGGATCAGACTAATTATAATTTCATATACTGGGCATTAGAATTATGTGCCAAACTCCTAGAACCTCTGCTCTCTGAAATTATTTATTATATTATTTATTTTTATTATAATCATTATTATTGATACATACCCTTACCTTAAACTATCTACTACATGCTCCACATTTTTTGTATGAATCCGATGTCGCTCCAGTAGTCCACTGTAATTAGAGCCTTTTAATGCAAGCTGTGAAAGACAAAAATCAAAATCTAATGAAGTTGGCAGTAATTTTCTAAGCATGTGAAAACAGTATGTAAACAGCTAAGCTTGAAAAAGCTAAATTTATTTATGGAAAATTGGAACTGTCAGAAACATGAAAATGGTTTATTCTCTAAAACCAAGCAAGTGAGAAAGTATTTAAATGTTGCTCAAAATTCAGAATCTGCATATAAGCATGTGGAACACTACCATTTTAATGAAAAGTTCCAGTATACAATTCTATTCTACCAGCCATATGCATTCTGACATACCATTCAACCAGTGTTAGAAACTCAAATATATGAGCTAGGTGCAAAATGGCTCCTTAAACCAGGGTTATAGTTGCCAAAACGGAATGCCTAGTTGCCATTTGGGGACATTTTCAATACGACTTTTTGGTTCCTGAAATTCATTCTGATTGTGCAGATAAAATATAACAAACAGTATTATATAGGATGTGTTGTTAGTGTGTGAAAACAGCCAAGATCTGAGGCATGCACCTCCAGATCATTTGGTCACAAGTGGTCAATAGCCAGGTACAAAATGCGCCTGGTGAATTTCAAACGCTGCAATCAACTATAATAAAATATAACCTAAAATAAGTTTTACTAAAAGTTCTGAATTGGGATGAAATGAGAGCAGCAGTTTAGAACAAATTAGGAGCAGTATCTCCTGTCATGGTGCATTATAGCATCTTACTGGCAACTGTTTCTAGTCACTAAAGAAGCTTGGCTTTGTTACTTCTCTATCTACTACCTGGCAAGAGGATACTGCACGAAAAGCACGATGACACCATACTGAAAGAGGCACTCTGTGTACCTATACTATTTCCAACTTTTAAAAAGTTCTTACTCCTGTGGTTGTGTATTTTGAGGTCTTTGTCCTCTAGTAAGAAAATTAAATTTCTGGCCACCACTGGCAAGCCTTTCTGGGAACCACTGAATATACACACAGTAAATTTTTATCCCAGTATAACTCTTAGAAAAGTGCCCAAGGTGACAAAATGATTGAAAATAAGGAAAACGTCAGCAATTAAACCACTAAATGCTTAAGAAAACTTGTAGAGAGTAGGGAGAAAACTTGTAGAAAGTTAGGAGTTTCACATGCATCGAAGAATAAAAAAAGAGAAACATCCAGTGATGCCTGCAAGATTGCACAAATGATTTCTGTTTGCACAACCAACATGACTTCTTCTTTTTCTCCTCCGCTGCAGCATTCTGAGCACCCGAAAAATCAGCTACAGAAAAGCCACCATCCTTCTGGAACAGATTTTGGAGGAGCATGTATGGAGGAAAGAGGAAGTCTGTTCATGTGCCACTGAGTGTCACCCAAAACAAAATATAAAATCAAGTAAGTCACTGAGCTTACAGAAGAGGGAAACAAAATATGCCTAAATTCGTTTTTACGAATGTCACCATCTTTTGTGAGCACACTTCATTGTAATTCTCCTTAGCCTTCAGAATTTTGGCTTGCCAGCCTGTTTACTTGATTGCAATTCTCAGCAGGTTTCAATCTGCTTACAAATACTTGCTTGAATAGACTGAGAATTTTGTCCGAATTCTCTCAATACTGCATGTTTAAAGTAAGTTATATTCTTAACATACAAGCTGTACATGTTACAAACATATAGTGACAGCACACAGGTCTGTGGGAAGGTGGATGAAAAGCTGCCACTTAATTTTGTCTTAGCTCTGTAAGTGTTCATTAGAGTACAACACGCAACAGAGTACAATGAACGCCAGTGCAGGAACTAAACGGAAAAGACAGGAACAGAACCACCTGTTTCCTTCATGGCACATCTATGTTCTCTAAAAATCTAGCAAACGTATCATACTATACTCAGTGGGCAGATGAGCAAAAAACCACATAGCAGCGAGTTGTATAAACAAGGCGAGAATGAAATGGAACCATGTAACTAAATGAACCAATCTCTAAATTAATCCTTCCACAGGAATACCCCAACAGACTACATTAGATCACACATACTACATTACATTCTCAATTGTTTTCGTCCCAACTAAAGAAGATTGGCAAGTTAAATTAAAGGAATATGCTGAAATGGCAAAATTGACAATGAAATTATGTTGATAAATAACAGAACCAAGGAAGGGACTAGAGGGAAAGTCAATTTGTTTTGTTTTGTTTTTGTACTGTTGTTTTTATTTTTGGAAAATTAGTAAAATGTTATAAAAAACAACAACAATCTCAATTGTTTTAAAAAAGAATTTTAGTGACCATAAAAATTCTGAACAAAAAAGGGTGCGTGATAATGTGATGCTAATGACCAATACCAAGATGGTCTGCGAGGCTTGCGTGCTGAGCCAGCTGCTGTGGACAACTTACACCCGCCAGGAGCGATGCCTCAGTGCCTTCCAAATGCACTGCGTCAGGAAGATTTTGGGCATCACATGGCAGGACATTCCACAACCTTGTGCACAGCACCTTTCTTTAAAGAGAGTTGCCATGACAATAGTTTGAAGATCAAGTCAATTCATGTACGTCAAAGATTCCAAAGATTGTCATTTCAGAGATCAGTTTCTCAAACAAACCACACAATGAAATGAATTTTGTTCAGTGAAAATATTGCTTCACTTGAAAATGATGCCTTCAAAGAGTCTGAAATTTGGATTGTCCTGTCAGAAGACAATGTAAACACTCATTATCACAATCTTTTTCAGGAACTGCGTATGTCCAAACAAAAGTAAACTCACAGTGTTAAGAATGTCCTGGCAGAAACAAACTCCAGAAAGGAAAGATCTATAAGAGTTCCAATCTTTCTGTAATCTATCCTATCATGTTCTGCTTTTAAGATGCTCAAGTAGGAACACAAGTGGAAAATTTGCAAGAAACCAAATCAGAAAGGTTAGCAAAGATTTTAAAATATTAGTTTACAGCGATGCTACATGCCAAGACAAATAAATAAAATATGGAGCCTCTGTTCTTTTGCATAGGTGTAGACTCCAGACGTATTTTTTAAAATCACCTTTTTTCTTTGCTTATTAGGTCTGCGTCTGCAACATTATTTGAGCAAAGTTAACAAGATAAAAGGGCACAATGTAAAAAACCAATCACAATATGTGCAAAGAACTGAGCTAAGGTAACTTAAGAGCAAAAAGCCTGTGATATTCTGGGATACATCAAAATACCAAAAATATCAGTGGTGAATATGCTATGGAAGCACACTCACTATGTTTGCACTACACATATGAACTTCTTACCAGGATGGGATTTGCAGTCCAATTTACAGTACTGATTGGCTGTCCAATATATCAAGCAAAAAAAACGCAAGCCCTTCCCACCTAAAAGTTTATTTAGAAGGGCTGGGAGAGTGCTTTAAAAAATTAAAAAATGCTTTAAACAAGTTTTTGAACAGCCACAAAGCCAGGTACTTGCAACCCCTCAAAGCAGAACAGTCCATTGAAGGATAGGGATGATTAGAACAATAAAAACTGAAATGTTTGACAATAACCAGTTGAGAGGCTAAGCATTCCGAGAAGTACATCACAAAATAACAAATACACCCCTACGAAATTGGCTAAGATATTGCATGAGGAACATGCAAGGTAGGAATAAAAATTCTGTGCTTCTCTGTTAGTATGATGCAAGATAAGGAAAATATGTAAAGAGAAAACCACTGAGAACAATGAATACGGCAAACATTTCATAAGATAATGCAAAGAAGACTACAACAGTGTTCAAAGAAGTTACTTTTGTATCTACTTTGCCGGGAACTGAATATACAAAAGTGTTTCACATCAGTAAGAGAATTTCTAAGGCTGTGGGAAAAGAAAGCCTAAGAGATTTTGCCAACTGGCAGAATCAGAGCAGAATGAATATCACTGATTAAGAACTACTGTTTCCAAAGCCAAGGCAGCCTCTGAAGAGAATAGAACCTGAGGAGTTATACTACTTTAAAGGGCTGACACCACAATCCCCTCTGCTGCCATCTCAAAAGCAGAGCAAGACTAGAATGACAAGAGCGAGCTTAATGGCACCATATTTCCTACAAAGAAGCTAGTCCTTGGCTCCATAGCAGCCAGTCACTGATGACTGTGTGAGAGTACTGCTCTATAGCAAGCCGCTTATTTTGTAGAAACAAATTGTTTTGAAGCTCACAGAAAAGCAGTAGTCAAGCAACTGGAAAACCTAAAATTTCCAATTTCAAAGCAGTAGAAGCAGCTAGCAAATGACGTGGCAGAAGAGTTTTATATGACAAAATGCCTGTTCACCGAGGTGGGCACTGTGTATGAACCTCCGCAATCCTATGCATGTTTGTTAAACATTTTGATCCTGCTGTTCATTCAAAAAGGTATCACATGGATAAGACAGTCTGTGTTCCCAGGCTTACAAGGTAAAACACAAGACACAAAGGAAAAAGCATTGGGAGGGAGGAGGAAAAAATAAGTTAGGCCTATCAAAGACAGGTAAATGTGTATACATTTAGACACTTAATTATAAACAGTGTACATTATCCTATTATACAGGATGCCGTTTCCTGGGAATAAAGGGCTGGATCCTTGTGCTCCCAGTATCAAGCCCACAGTATAGTACAAGAGTTCCCAAACTGCGGAGCTTCATGCAGGTGGTCTACAGTATGTCTGTAAAAGTACAATTAAAATCATCCAGCATCTAGCATCTAGCATAGTGCATTACAATTGCTACAACAGACAGGGAAGGGGGAAATCATTAAGTGGTCTGCAAAGACTCTCAGCAATTTCCAAATGGTCCATGGGGGGCGGGGGGGAGAGCCTGAGAACCATTGCTAAAGTATATGACTAGTTGTGTGACATTTATCATGCTTGGCCATGCTTCTTTAGAAAAGCACGCTTTAACCCTAATAGAAGGCCACTGATTCAGTGTTGAGATATTATAATAGTTTAGCATATTATGATTTAATTCTAACAAGCTATTATTTTTAAGCCAACATTTTTATCCATTCTGATCAGAAGATATTATTTAGAAAACCTAATGGTCATAACAATATATATTTCATAAAGAATGAACCAGGAAGCCTCGCTGACATTGCTGGAAGTTTCATGAATACAGAGTCTCTAGCGCAGTTTGATAGCTCATTCTGTATACTGACATGAACCAAGCTGCTCTCAATTTTATTTCATAACATGTCCATGGGGTCACGAAGAGTTGGACACGACTAAACGACTAAACAACAACAACAAACCCCACCTTCCCCCTAGCAATCTGATCATTTTTCAAGTGCCTAAAATTGTTAAAATAATATGTGCCCTGCTCACACTCACTGTACAAAAGAAAGGACATCATACATTAGATGAAAAAGTGGGTCAATCAGGAAAAAGGCAGGATGAACAGCTGTGTCTTTATAGATATATAGCAGGAATTATCAGATTACCACTGGCTAACAACATAGTGAATCTGGCCTGTGATATAATTTTGTGTGGGTGGAATGAATCTTTGTCAGCAGCATACAGTAGTCTATGACTGCTATAGAGAAGGTGTGCTAAGATGGCATGAGGTAGTAAATGTATTACATATACTATACTTATGTGATCAATTATCTCTTTTATAGCCTCAAAGTATATATTTAAGGCAGAAGGGAGAAAGACAGCACTATACACACATCAGGAGTATGCAACAGTTCATTTAACTTGCCTTCCCTTCATAGCCAATAATTTTAGCCTCACATGGCTGCAAGTTAGGTAGTTGGACTGGGGCTGAGTGCTACCAAAATAGATGGTACTTTCCTGAAGAGTAAATAAAATCAAGATGAATCTGTGTTACCAGTCAGTGCCATGTGAACCTGTGGGTGTGGAAACATGTATAACTGCCACTTCCTTAATCAAGTGATTCTGTATTAAGGTCTTGATCTTTCGAAGCCCGAGTGCTGGCCAGATGAAACACCTATTTTCTTATTAGTAAAAGTTATTAGATGTAGCAAATAGCTGATGGTACTATCATAATGTTGTGAATATTGACAGTTGACAATATCCTTGGAATAAATAAATGCAATTAACCAAATAATAGGTGGCAGCATAAGGCCAAACTGCTCAAGTGTTAATATTCTGTGGTCATTTTTTGTTCTTTTGTTTTATTAACACTCAGATGCAGCCTTGAGTAGATAAAACTAGGAACAAAAGGATGAGGTCTTTTCCTTATTAACTCATTTTCTGCTCCAGTTGTACACATGCCCTCCAAAAAAGTTGCAAGGGGGGAAAAGATGGGCAACCATATCCAGATATAAGTTTGGCCCTCCCCTTATTGGAAAAGGTGCAAGGGAGGTACTCCAAATTGTTTTGGTAGTTAGGAATTTGAACTCTGAACCACCCATCCCAAAAGTGTTCTCTGCCAAATACTTGTACAGTGGTACCTCGGGTTACAGATGCTTCAGGTTACAGACACTTCAGGTTACAGACTCCGCTAACCCAAAAATAGTACCTCGGGTTAAGAACTTTGCTTCAGGATGAGAACAGAAATTGCGTGGCGGCGGCACGGCAGGCCCCATTAGCTAAAGTGGTACCTCAGGTTAAGAATAGAACTCCAGAACTAATTAAGTTCTTAACCCAAGGTACCACTGTACACTTGATGGGCTGACACATTTTTATTTGTTTCTCAAGTTAAACTGATTTATGGTAAGCATACAGAGCATGGCTCTGGAACTTGTGTCCCTTCAGATGTTGCTGAACTACAATCTGACCATACTGGTTGGGGCAGATGGAGCTGGAATTCAACAAATTTGGAGGGCCACAGCTTTCCCATTCTTGATGTAGCAGAAGATTGCTTCATTCAAATTATACCTGTTGATATTACACAGTCACTATAATAAGGAGGGAGTCAGTTCGGGTGGTCCCCACTACATTTATGCTTCTTTCATACTGAGTTAGTAGGTAGAATAAACAGGCAATCACCAAATACTGTTACTAAAAAGGAACTCCTCCCCAGCCACACACCAGCTTGACAAATTGCCACTACTACAAACCACAAAAACAGCTGTTGACTGGGTGCTGTTTGAGGTGTTAAGTATCTGCCTCCAACAGTCACCTCCCTGTGCTAACTTACCTTGTTATCAGAGAAAGAGTGTGTGCTTATGTCAAGGTCTGGCTTATACATGCACAAAGATGAGGCTGCCTACTGCACTGCAAACACCAAGACTTACTGTGGTATAAACTTTTGTGCACTAAACCCATATTCAAGCAGATGCAGTGAAGTGGGCTTGCTCAATGAAAGCACATGCTACATCTGTTTGTATCTATGGCCTCTTTTTCTTGTATCCACACAACCTCTTCCCAGTTTTTTTTTTCCTTTAAGAGGAATATTCAGCACATACATAGCCAGCATTTCTCCTACCTGTGGAAGTCAAGGCCATAGCGGTTTCCAGGTGACATAGCTGTCAAGGTTTCCCTTTTTTTAAGGGAACTTCCCTTATTCCGAATAGGATTCCTCGCAAGAGAAGGGAAAAGTTGAAAGATATGCCAGGTGGTCTCCCATCCAGCCTGAATAGCTCAGTTGGTGCGTGTGGAGGGCTGATAACGCCAAGGTTGCAGGTTCGATCCCCTTAAGGGACAACTGCATATTCCCTGCATTGCAGGGGGTTGGACTAGATGACCATCAGGGTTCCCATCCAACTCTTTGCCATTCTATGATCTCGGGTCATTCGCAGGCCAAAAGGGAAGATTTAAATCCCCGAGCACCTCCACTCACCAGCTGCTTGAGGTCCTCCTCGGAGAGCCCCGCGTACCGGTACCGCTGCTGCTCGAACTCGTAGCGGGTCGTCTTGGCCACCACCACCACCCGGGCCGGGCGGAACCCGACGCCGCCTCCCGACCGCGAAGGGAGCTCCGACGAAGAAGCATCCGAGCTGAGGCAGCGCTGCGAGGAGGAAGGGGCGGACGGAGGCGGCGGCGGCGAAGACCCTCGCCCCGCCAGCGCTAACGGCTGAGAGAGGAGCCCGGACGCGGCGAAGGCGGCGGCGGCGGCTGAAGCCACCGACGCGGCCAGGCGGGCTGCGCTGGGCGCTAAGGCGAGGTGGCTGTGCGGCGGCGGCGGGGCAGGCGGCTGCTGCCTCCGGGAAGGCTTGAGCAAGGCGCGGAGGGCGGCGGAGGGACTGCCGCCGCTCAGGTAGCTCGGGAGGCAGGTCATAGCCCGGGCTCGCGGGGTTCCTGCTGGAGCCGCCGCGGCCGCCACAACCACCACAGCCGCGAGGGAGGCGAAGGGACAGAGCGGCGACCTTCCCTCGCCTCAGGTTTTTGCGCCACAACAGCGCGGCGCGCGCGCTCGGGAAAGTGGCGGGGGTGGGGGGGCGGGGTGAGGCAAAGCAACACACAAGGACGCACGCACAGCCCCGCCCCCTGCTGCTCAGCGCGCGCCGCCTGACGCACGGACGCATCAGACGTGAGCGCTCCGACCCTCGGAGGCGTAAAGGGGAGGGGGGGTTGGTGAGCGGGAGGGAAGGGACACTGTGCGCAGGCGCCGCGAGCCCGCGCTCTCTCTCCCCTCCCCTTTTTTTGCCACAGAAGTAAAACATCGCGCTCCCACGCGGCCGGTCCAATACAGGCCTTCGACGTCGACTCGCTTTCTGCGCCTGCGCAGCCGTCGCCCAATCCAGAAAACACCCATTGGTTGATGGCTCCTCTGTGCGACGTTATAGCCGCGCGAGGCACGAAACGGGCTCGAGCGCCTCCCGCCGCGATTGACCAATAGGAAATGCCCTTGTCCAAAGCGCGCCGGTGGCGGCGGAGAACGTTCCGCAGTTAGGAAAGGGATAAAGCGGGGAAGATTGGGAGAGGCGAAGGCGGCTGGTTGTCGCCGTCAGCTGCGGTGGCGTGAGCCGTGCGTCGAGTCCCACGACCGGTTCCACCTTCCTGCAGGAAGCTGCCGCCTTTATACAAAGTATTGATCGCCTTTGGTTTAGCATCTAACTCAGTACAGTATTGCATGCACGGACTGGCAGCAGCTCTGCAGGGCTTCGCATACGGAGAAGGGAGGCTGTTCACTGAAAGAAAGGGAGGGAGACGCTCACAACCCAGAGCCAATTGTGAATGGAGCAAATCCCTTCCAGCCCTGAAAACCAGGCACCGACATAAAGGATCACTGAAGTGTGGGTGGGCTGTTAAGAGTTTGAAGGCCATGCAAAATCTAGGAGAAGGCCAGGCCTCCCCTGTCGTTGCAGCCAGCAGTGCTATCCCACAGATTGGCTGATGGTGCACAAGGGTGTGTGGAACCATGAGTTACTTGCAGGAACAATGTACAAAACTCGTTTTTATTTTATTTTATTTTTTAAATCCCCTGGACATATATTTCCAGACACAATAAAAGTATACATTTATCATAAGCAACAGCCAAGCACTCAATTTATTAGCACTGTACATTTCCTACCTAAGAGCTATTTTTACAATATAAAAAATCCTTCCAGTAGCACCTTAGAGACCAACTAGGTGCTACTGGAAGGAGGTTTTTTTTTATTTTGTTTCTACTACGGCAGACCAACACGGCTACCTACCTGCAATATAAAAATTGTGAGAGATGCATGATGGAAATCTGCTTTGATTTTAAAGAAAAAAAACGTGGCTACAATCCAGAAAATGTGTTCAGTTTAATTATATCTTCCATGGTATAAACAAAGCACACATTCAACAGCCCTGCTGGTGATTTAAAAGGTGACTAAATCTGGGGTGGATGAAAAATGCCACTTCACGATCTGAAAGGACAGAACAAATTGAAGCTGTAACTTGCCATAGTTACAGTGATAAAAAGAAAGTCTGCCAACATTCTGGAGCAAAGAGAAATGTATGCCATAGGTCATTTGCTCATAATTCTTTTAAAAACCGCCAACTGAAGTTAAACAAATATCAACCAAGCAAAGGTGGAGCTCAAAAAAGTGATCCGTTGGCTTAAAACCAAGGGGAGAAGATTGTTCAATTAACCTTCATTTTCTGTATCCCTGTGATCATCTATCTTAATGGTTTTTTTAAAAAGGAACACTTTCACATACTATTAAAACTGAAAGAGGAAGGAAATGGGATTACAGCAAGGAGGGAAAGAAAGTTTTAACCATTGGAATGCATAAGCAATATGTTGCTCTTTTTCAAAATTACCAAGAGCATTCTTAGAGCCAGCTGATGAGCTGGTGGATATGGGACAAGTGTTGCTCAGTAGCCGGGCAGGTGACAGGTTTTATACTACTGGAGGCCTCCAGTACAGCCATACTCTGCCAGAGTTTGGAACCCAAGCAGAAGCATATTAGTGGTGCATCAAAGGAACATAAGAAGCTGTCTTGTACAGTGGTACCTCGGGTTACATACGCTTCAGGTTACATACGCTTCAGGTTACAGACTCCGCTAACCCAGAAATAGTACCTCGGGTTAATAACTTTGCTTCAGGATGAGAACAGAAATCATGCTCCGGTGGCACGGTGGCAGCAGGAGGCCCCATTAGCTAAAATGGTGCTTCAGGTTAAGAACAGTTTCAGGTTAAGTACGGACCTCCAGAACAAATTATGTACTTAACCAGAGGTACCACTGTATTGTTATACATTGGGTTTACCGTATATCCCATCTTCTGCAAGGAGCCCGGGGCAGCAAACAGATACACAATTTAAAAACAAAAACATTCTAAAACAGTTAAAGCACTCTTTAAAAAACCAATTACAATTAAAGACATCAAAAAGAAGTTACAGATGAAAACTTTATTCCACCCAATGATCTTGGGGTTGCCAGGAAAAGTATTCTTCAGCCACTAACTGATGGCTGAAAGTTAATACAGTAGTAGAGACAGGTGAACCTCACTAAGGAGGGTCTATTGAGGAAGGACATTTTTTAGGAATAGTGGCTAAAATAGTAACTCGGACATCTGGTCCACCTAGTTCAGTATTATCTACACCAGGGTTGGTAAACTTATCAGCCTGAGGTGGTGAGAGAGTAAGCACCCTCACGGGTCACTTTGACAATTTAGGAAGTTCAGGGGGAACCACATACAATGTTTAAACGATGTATTGCAGAAAATAGACATGCTATATTTTATTGAAAATAAAAGCCAAGGCTTAATTTTGTCACTGTTATTTTTTATTGTTCTGTTTATTATATAATAATATCCAAAACACAGCATATGGAGTATTTTCCTAACTTCTTGTATATGAATAATAGTATATGTTACCTTTTTAAAGACCTTCATAACAATGCAATAGTACTAAAGCAGCACTTTTAAAAAAAGTATAAGATGGTCAAGAATAAAAGCTGATCCCTTTCATGTAGGGACCTTTCAGCATAGTATTTTAACTTTTCCCATATAGTTAAAGTGTGGGGGCAAGTAGTAAAATATTTGCATTCCGCTGCAACCAGTACAAGTAGATTATTCAATGTTAACCTGCACTGATTTATTAGTAGGCTTCAGTGAGAAAATAACATGTATTTGGAACTAGGGATGCACAGACCCATTAAAGTCCAGTCTATCCCAGTTCTGCATGGGTACAAGGCCATTTCCATCTTCTCAAACCACCTTGTAACGAAATCTGCTGAACTGCAGTTTCAGAAGTGCACTCATTATCTGATCCAAGTTACAGTCTGCCCAAAATTAATTACACGAGTTCAGTCAATTTCTGGAAGTAAGTGCAATTAAAATCTATAAGACCAACTTTAGGTAAAAGTGCATGTGTTTATTATTGAAATATTTTATTTAGGGACTAGAAATTTGTTAAGAGTCCTATTCCTGGACTCTGATTGGTAGCTTAACAAATCCTGAATTGGGCTGAGAGTGCAGTGGAGACGCAGTTGAGAGACAGATTTGATGGACCATATCCTCAATATGACTGGTTACGAAATAAACAGACTTGTGCTTTGCAAACATGGTTTATGGCTTTGAGTTTTGATAGGAACTGTTCAAAAACTGTTCTGGAATTAATCTGCTTGTTATGGATGGCAGCTTAGACAGAAGCGACATGATCTTACTGGGCTTTGCTTTTGCTATGTTTGATCATCCATATACAGTACACATCCTAAAACTGTGGACCGCCTTTACAATTTGATAGTTGTGCTCTCCTTGTCAGTTTGGGGATGATAAGAGTAGAGTTCTTGTGGAAACTTAACAGCACTTAAGTCTTGCCAGTATTATTTTTGGTCAAATATTTATTAAGCAAACATTTTTTGACGAAGCACAAATAAAAAGTTTGTTTGAAAACACATGTAACTTGATTGCCATTGTGGTTGCTGGCAGGAGGCTCTTCTTTCAACTATCCTACAGAAAGCGTGATTTGAAAAAGTAATTTTTGATGAAGAAAGTATTGCTCATGGTATGCAGGAGCATCTTTTCTGACAACCCACCCTCCTTTCTAAATCTTTAATTTGTTGGAGGTAGATTACCTATAAGTTATCAAGAAGAGGTCAACAAAATTAACTGATTGTGTCTACATAATATAGTGGAGTGAGCTGATTGTGGCAGAGCTGGGTTATGAATTTGCTAGTTATTCTTGAGCAAATCACTCACTGTTAGATGTATGGGTTGTGTTAGCACCTGATAAGGCTGTATAGGACTCAAGACCCATAGATGGTTCAAGGGCTTTGCCCCTGTGCACCTAACATCAGGCTCTTCTGATTTCCCCCTAACAGTTGCATGAGCCACTTGTCCTTTTTATACAGGATGCCTAGAGCAAATTATCCAAGACGAGAGGCTAGCAGGGAAGATGGATTAAGGATGACTAAAGCGTGAAGTAAACAGTGCAGTCTTTCCGAGGTGGGCACCCATTGTCTGGACTCAGGCCACTTTCTTATTTTTAATAGGATTGTATATAGTTGAACTATGGAACTTACTGCCACAAGATGTAGTGATTTTGCTGGAGAATGCAAGTGGGGACAGTGCTCTTCTGCTTGGCTCCCGTTTGTGGGTTTCTCATAGGCATCTGGTTGGCCACTGTGAGAACAGGATGCAGGAGTAGATGGACCACTGCCAAGAGGCTGTTCTATGTTCTTAAGTGATGGTCACCCAAATTGGATGGCTTTAAAAAAGATTTATAAAATTTCGTGGAAGATAGGGTTGTTGACAACAACTAGTTGTGAATCATGGCTGTGTACTACTTCCATTTCTAAGGAGGCTTCCCCTGTTCCTATGTATATCAGTGGGTAGAATCACAGAATCATAGAATTGCAGAGTTCGAAGGCAACACATGGGTCTTCTAGTCTAACCCCCTGTGATGCAGGAATCTTTTGCCCAATGTGGGGCTCAAATCCACAACCCTGAGAGTCTCATGCTCTACCAACTGAGCTATCCCAGTGGCTGGGAAGCATGACTGTGGCCAGTGGCGTAGCGTGG